AAAGAACAGAGAAGCCACCACCAACTTTTAGCCATGCTAACGAAAGATACCCATTTATGTGCTCTGAATATTGGATGCTACAGAGAAGGAAGACATGGGTGTATTTCTTTGGCCCGGCCTGACGTTCTTCCAGGATGACCGCTCTCTTGGAAACAGGAGATAGGTCTCAACAGCGTCCTGGCCTGATCCACAGGACTTCCACAATACCTTTCTGGTCTTCATCTGCGGTACAATTGCTCTTCTATGAAGAACTTGAGCTTCCTTTGGGCCCACCTTCCTGGATATGGATGTAGCCTTTCCCCTAATCCCTGACAATCATTAATAATCTAGGGTTGGAGGTTAAACCAAGATGAGTCACTTATTGCTTCTTCCACCCTCTGTCACTTTTCTCCTTCTTCTATAATTAACTCACCCTGCTTTCTAATCACCCTCATCACAGACACATCCATAAAGTCCATGGAAGGTTACTGTAGTCTTCCCAGTTCTAGCATGCTCCAGACTTATGGATTACAGCTCCCATTATCCCCAGCCCACTGTGGCTGGGAGGGGATTGTAGCAGTACTCCAACAGTCTGGAGAAGGACCTGCTACTCTACCAGCTCCCACCAATTGCAAAAATTGCATCATTCTTGGCCTGCTTCAAAGTGCTGTTTTCTTTCTAGGCCTCCAGGTTGACCACTGAGGGCTGGATCATTCAAGAGGGCCGGTTTTGCCCCAGGGCCGTGCAGTTGCTGAACCCCTGCAGCCTGGAACGCCAAAAGGGAAAAGCGAACCCACGGCGGATGGAAAGCAACTAATTAGGAACTTTTCCCAAGACATGCCACTGCTCTATCTTAACTTAGCTACCCCAACACGGTGCCCTCCCAACATATTGGACTACAAACCCCAGGGTCCCCGATCACCATGCTGGGAAACTCCGGGAATTTATCCCTGCAACTGCTTCCAGCAAATGTTCAGATTTGTCCTGGCGTCTTTGGCTCAAAAATCAAAGCCTTGATCAAGTTTGGCACTAGGGATCCCTGCCCAGACCGACCCGCCCGAATCTCAGGAGCATTATCATCTTCTGCGCCCCCCTCTGACCCGTGACATTTTGTCAGCCAGCTGCAAAACGCAACCCAGCAATGACAGATCGCTATCCCAGCAGAGCCAAAGAGCGCCCGAGCAAGGGCAGAGTTCTGTTGAGGTTCCCTACGGTGGAAAGACGGGCATCGGAGCAGCTCCGATTCTTTCGGGCAAAAGGCAATGGAGAACCAAGGAGAAAGAGGCGGCGGAGATAAAGCCACGACTACAAGCCTCTGCAGCAGCGCAGAGGGCAATAAACACGCCTGATCACTGACCACGCCAAGAAAATAGGCTAGAGAGAACGGCCCCATTGCCACGTCATGCCGAGGTCAGGTTTGTTTTGGCCACTTTTTTTTCAAACAAGCCCCAGTGGGCTGGAAGTCTTGATGTCTTAGTGGCACGAGTAAACTCGGTGGGGGCAAATTAACTGGGGAGACTAAACCCAGCCCCATATAACTACAACATCACAGTCATGGGTTTGGGGCACAGAGCAATCCTGCCCTTGGGTTAGGCTGGTGGTGAAAACAGGGCACTGAACTTCCGGGGG